TTTTCTGAACAACAGTTACATACCTGGTGGAAATACCATGCTATGTTTATTATGTGTTTTATGTCTAGTCCTCAAAGCACCCCTATGATGCTTTTATGATGATCTATGATGAAGTTTATTTTATCTAAATTTTCAGATGAGGAAACTAAAGCCACCTGCTGAGGCACCTGGTACAAGGAGCACAAGAGAAGAATGCTCATTGATGAGCTGAGTGGGCATTTTGTATCATGCAGCCTAAGTTAATACTTTAAAAATTAAAGTATGCAGTGGAAATGTTTCTCCAAATTTTCTTCTCTGCCACCACCCACGTGGAACCTCACCCTTCTGGGATGCTCACACCCAGGCTAAACATCTCCCTGTTAGGCACAATAACTTCTTTCAAAGCTCCGGTGCCAGACAGTATTCCTAATGCGTACTGTCAACAGCCTTCCCCCAAAAAAGGAGAGCCTGGAAATTACCATATCAGATGCTAACAGGCGGAAAAAGGTATCCATCTCCTTGGTGATGTATTCAAGGTGTGAGTAAACAAGATCCTGAGTCCACCCTGTAAGTAAGAGAGTCCCTACCATTCTGTTGCTCACATGCCCTAAATAGACCAAGGTATGCTGAGATGTTGAGGCTTCAGCTCTCAGGTGACCAGTGGTCTTGGGGCAGCTGGTGTTTTCTCAGTGAGCTGTATACTTTCGGTGTATGCCATGACTTTAAAAGGACTAGAGCCCTGGCTAGGTGGCTCAGTTGGTTGAAGTGTAGCATCATCCAGTACACCAAGAAGGTTGCAGGTTCAATTCCTGGTCAGAGCACATACCTGGGTTGTGGGTTTCATCCCCGGTCATGGCAGCTAAGGTTGACAACCAACTGATGTTTCTCATCTCTCTCTCTTTCTCAAATCAATAAACATAAACTCATGTGAGGATTTTTTAAAAAAGGACTAGGAAGCTCTGCTGTAAGTGATCTCATGAAATATCTGGGGCTTGTTGGTGATAAGTGAGAGAACCAACCTTGAGAGATAGAAAGAAAGCAAATAGGACAATGGAAAATAGGTGGGAGGGCTGACCAGGCTCAAAAACATAATTGGCAACTTTGGAGCAATAAAACCTGAGGTCCATCCAGCAACCCAACCCTTGAAGTTACTAGCAAGGTCCTCTTGGCAGCTGTTCTCACAGCCAAAAATGTGAAAAACTTGTCAAGATCAGGACTGACTCAACTCATTTGAGATGCAAGGCTGTCCTGCCCCTTTGAACTTTGTTTCTATCACAGCCATTTAATTATTCTGTGAGCTCTTATAATTCTCTGAGGAAAAAACTGGCTTCAGAAGTACAGTATCTAACCCTTTTTCAGGTTATAATATTTATATGAACTGTGAGAAACTTACAGTGCCTTAAAGAAACTACATAAAGGAGGTGTCAGCATTTTCAATACAAGCTCCATTTCCAAAGGTTTATGCACTCTGGAGAAATTTGCTTGAGGCTGAAACTTGGCATATAGTACCTGAGTCCCTGACAGTCCACACCTCATTTAATGCGTACTTACAGATGAGTCCTTCAAATTCACTACATTTGCCATCTGTAATTTTTAAAAATAAAAATGGCTTTAATAGCAGGCAGTTTCTGAATTTAATGTCAGTGCGCACAATTCTCAGAGAATCAGAGAAGTCAGGAATATCAAAAGTCCTATTTTATAGATTCTGGTATGACAAGAGTATGAAGGGAAAGAAAAATAATTTAAACAGACAGATACCAGAAAATATTGGTGTCCTCAGAAGGACACCAGACTTAGACTGACCTAATCATTTTTCCTACCCCCAGATCCCTTCTTGCCCTATTTCCTGCCTTGTGAGGTAGGCCCGGTCACCATAGGTGGGTTTTGGTGTTCAGGGTCTTTCCTCAGAATATCACAGGAAAGGCAGCCAAGAATCTTACTTTGCCCTTTGAGTATCTATTTGAGGGGATTGGATAAAGTGCTCTCTGAACCATAAAACACTTGGTGGGAAAAGAGTTCATAGAGAAACACAGGAAAACGTTCTTTGTGAAGATGAAGTACATCCCAGGAAGACCCTGGCATGGAACTCTGCAGATGTGATCTGAGAGGGCAGAAGAGAGCGTTGCTAGGCAATCGTGGTTTTCAGGAACTGTGTAGATCAGGACACATAGGCAGCCTGCATTCCACAGCCGCTACCTAGATGCCAGGAATGTCAACAGTAGATGCCAACCTCAGGATGGGGAGCTTGGGAACCAGCTAGAAGCCAGCAGCCTGCACCAACTTCAGAGGAGAAGCCAAGCACCTTGCCTAGGAGCAGGGGCCATCCCCTGAGCCTTCTGCTCACAAGGCTGCCTCAGTACCTATTAACTCAGTGAAGTCCACTTCTGGATTTACCTATGCTTTTTTCGGGAATCGGTGTCCCTTCATGGTGAAGCATAGGGTCAAATCTGAAAGCTTTATTTATAGCACATGGCCTGGGGCAAGTTACTTAACCTTTCAGAGCTGTGATTCCTCATTTATGAATGGTGTACTAGCTCTTACCTTTAGGCTTGTGACGATAAAGAGAGATACAAAGAAAGTAGTGAACTCCTGGTGGCTGTAATAAGCAACCAAACATGATGATCCATCTTCACAAAAGGAAAAGAATCCCCAGCATCCCTCCATGCTGAGCACTCTTTGGCTCAGGGGTGGCAATCCCAAAGATGCTGGGAGGAAATTATTATGGCAGGCAGCTTGGCATATAAGGACTGTATCACAGCTGAGCTGTTAATCCCATGAATCTTTGGTTCCTGTCCTCAAAGGCTGATTCAGTTCTGATGAAGGTCCGTTTCTGTGTGAAACTAAAATAGTTCAGACATTTAGAATTGCCCAAGTACAACACGTGAACATAACTAAATCTGAGTGTTGTATATCTGGGCTAAAACAAAGAAAAGACATTCAATTCTGACTAGTAGGGTCTTTCTTTTCAAACTCCTCTGGCAACACTTCCCCAATGAAACAGCTGATCATTTCTCAAAAGGCCATTCTGTAACAATTAAGTCTCCTTAATTGAGGAGAAAATGAATAAAGGAGGTAATGAATCATCTGTAAAGCTGGTTTAGAGTAAAGCTGACCAGGTGGAGGCCCTGAAGTGAATGGATCTAAAACATAGCCCTTGTGATCCTGGAAAGATATCAGACTATAGCTGCATGATTCAGGGCTCCGCAGTCCGTGACCAGTCTCAGGTGCTACAGCATATGAGATAGCCAAATGGCACCCTACTGGAGAAAGGCTATCTGTATCTTCCTACTAAATATCCTTTTTGGAGACTGAAGACTCTCTTTTGACAGGGACTCATCCTCTGAGTGCTTCCAAAACCAAACACCAAACCTATCAGACCTATAAATGCCAACTCTGTACCTAGCCCCTTTATTCTTACTTTACTATTAGGAAATTCACAGAACTCTTACTACTCACAGCAAAGAGGTTTCAGGAATGGAGGATGCGCAAATTCTGGAGTTCATGTACTAACTGCTGAGAGTCAAATGCTATTGTATAAGAAAGGTACTAAAGGATAAACTTTCTACTTACCAGATATCTACTACTACCTAAGTATACTAAGGATTTTGTATGTGAAACCATTTGTTATTTTATTCTTTCAGCAATGTTAGGTATCATTCTAAATTCTAGAAACATGATGGTGAACATATTTTTATCCTCACAGCAACTCTGTAAGAAACCTAGACCTTAAGAGGTGAAGGATCTCGTGCAGGGGTTCCCACAATTAGTGACTGGCAGAGACCACACTCCCAGCCACAGTTCCATAAAGCACCACAGAAATGTTAGCTGTTAAGCCTCTCGATACAAAGATTACATTATATGCTGTTATATTCCCACCATGCCTAATACAGTGCTGAGGTGTGCCTCTTACCCAGTCTTAAACTTATTAGATACTGATATAAATTTTACTAAGACTATTTCATTCTAAGATTATTAGATAAACAGGAGTTTTGTGGGGTGTCGATCAGATCTTAGAAGCTGTCTCATTGGCTTGAATAAACCATATCACCATTTCAAAAATTAAATATATAATAATTTTTTCAGATAATGTATTTGTGAAGATGAGATATGATTAGCAGAAAATTGTCACACACATATGGTGAAGTTAGCTTAATTTGTTTTAGGAAATAGTGGGATCCCTCTGAAGGACAAGAAATCTGAAAGGTACTGATGAGTTTTGTCATTGCATAAAGTATGAATGAAAGCCAGGAAGTACCTCTCTAGTCTTCTTAAAATAGAAGTATTCTTACTTACAAGAATTTAGTTTATAGTGAAAGTTACAAGTGAAATCAATAGGAAAAAGATAGATTATGTAATAAAAAGTATTGAGAGAAACTAGTTGCCATTAAAATAAAATGGTTCCCTATATTTTATACCAGAAAAAAAAAAGACTTCAAATGGCAGTTGGGTTAATTGAAGTCCATATGATAAGTGATACTACCATGGGTAAAGTAACTTTGGGGAGAATATGAGCCACTTTTCCTCACAGTTAAATTGAGAGGCCACAGACTTAATTAACAGTAGGATAGATGATAAATCATATAAGGGGGATGAACAATTACCTTTGTTAGGACACCACTTCAATTTGTTATTGTGCTCATTACTCTTATTTCAGTTAATAAATTTTACTTAATTGGTTGAAGTCATATGATTCCCAATTGAAACAAGGGTGATCAAAAGTAATTTTTAGTCTCTAATGACTGTTCTTTTTCTATTATAACTCTAGAGAACCATTAGGGTATATGTACATATGCCTGTTGCTGCCAGTAACAGTTGACCTTCTTACCTTCTATTATGTGAAGGGAATATTTTCATGTTCAATTAAATGTCTGTTTCATGCCACTCACTGGAAATTTACTACACCATTAATAGTACTTCTTTCTTCTAGGTGTCCCTTTTCCTCCAGAGCAATCGAAATGCCCAAGATCCTTTTATCCTTTTACGTGAGCCATCTCTAATCCTCATTATGTTACTCTGTCTAGAATCAAACTGCCAAATGAGGACCTTGGACAGTGGGATCGGAACCTTCCCACTCCCAGACTCAGGAACTCGCTCAACGGGACGGTACATGTGCCAATCAGACTCCCCAGAGGACACAGAGCCCATCCTGTGTCTCCAGCCAGCCCTTTGTGCAGCACCTTCCATCAGAGCCCAGACCCTTGAAAGAGAAGTGCCTTCCTCCAGTGACAGCCACGGTTCTGCAGACAATGCCATTGTTCATTCCACATCTGACCCCCTTGTGACTGCCAGGGCTGTGCGACCTCTTCAGAGTCGCCTCCCCAAACCAGCCTCTGCAGGTAAAATGTCTATTACCTTCCAAATTAGATTGCTTTCCTACCAAAATAATGCACTTGCTGATGAAATGGAAAACAGGCAGTAAAAAATGTTTCCACCCGGAGGCCAGTGAGTGACCTCTGCCTAATGGAAATGTGGATGCATGAAAATCCCTGCATGTCCTCAACCAAAAAGTGAAAGGACAAGTGTTAAATATTATTTGCTCTTTGCATTATGTTAAGGAGTGTACATACATATAAAGGAAATAAGCATGTAGGTATAGGTATATGGATATATAAATTAAGAAAAAAACATACAACATACACATGTGCTTTTGTCATTTAAAACTTAATTTGGAATATAGACCAATTCTGAGCATAGAGCCATGTAAAGTTAACTGAAATGTTGTTTGCCCTCTAACCAGACATGTGTGTCTTCTGACATAATCCTATCCTCATATGTTGAGTGATAAAAAAAAACCTAGGTGGATATGTCAGCAGTAGATTGTACATTAACTGCAACAGAATGGAGTGAGCCTTTCCACCAAGAGCAGTTTCTGGTTACCATCAGCTAAAATAAGCTTTCATGATTAAAGATAGGACCAGGCTAAGGGTCAAAGTTTTTTATTGTCCCCTCAAGATTAAAAATATTTATTGCCACTCTAGATGGCACTACATAATTTTTAACTTGTATGGCTTATGTTACATTTATGACATACATAAGCATATGAAATAGAACTCTAAAGACTTTCATTTATTATTTGATGATGAGAAAGGAGCCGCAAATAGAAAATATAGTATAGGCTATTGAAAAATTAGAAAAGAAGACTTTTAATTAAACATCTTTGAATAAATGTGATTGGCTGAGTTCTTCCATCATTCTGTGACACTAACTGCATAAATGTTCCATCACAAACTTCTGCTCATTTCAAGCCAAGGCTATGTATTGAAATGCTGGAATGCATATTATTTTTGAAATAAATGCATTGTTAATTAATGACACAGCCACCAGAGATTCAGGGGCAAAATCTTAGTTATAGATTATGTGCTTCATGCCTGAATAGTCACATGTGTGACCTCAATTCAGCGGTGGGCTGCTGAGTAGATGCCATGATTAAACACTGTCATTATAACAAATTGAATAGAAACCGTAAGCTGTGAATTGCTTTATAAGAAAGGGATAGGAAGGAGATTGTTCTGATCTTGCTGCAATATTCATAGCACCAGTTTGTGTCTTAATTAAATTGACATGAAGAGTTGTTAAAAAAGTAGTATATGGCAAAGTGTGAGGTCAACATGGTGCCGGATACTTTTGTATCGTCTGTCCAACACTTCCTGTCCACCCAGTGATACTGTCACTGTGGTTCAGAGGCACAGGCAGATTTCCAAGGCTTCTCTGTTTCCTGTGGTCATTGGTTACTCATTTAAAAAAATAAGGAATGGTGAACCAGCTGGAACAAAACGAAAGTGGTTTAGAGCAGTCACTTCCTACTTAATGTATGCATTTGAATTGTTTTTTTCTCTTATCCCCATATCAAAAATGGAAGTAACTGTACAAATCTCACAGCATTGATGAAAATACAACTATGTACTTTGCTTCTACTCACAAGTAAAACGATATAGACAGGTTATCTCAGCATGTCCTGTTAATAACCATCAAGACTGGAGGATAATAGCAGCATCTCCTTCCTGGCATGAGAAGGAATACACTCTGCAGGTTAATCTACTATTATGGGTAATGAAGGAACTTTAATTGTTCTCTGTTAATTACATCCTTGCTCCTGAAAATGTTGTCCATGGGTCAACATCATCAGCATCATCTGAAAACTTGTCAGAAATGTAGAATCTTAGACCCCACCCCAAACCTACTGAATCAGAATCTGCAATTTAACAAAAGCTCAGCTGACCACACATGCAAATCAAAGCTTGAGAAGAATGGCCCTGCAGAATTTTTAAGGGCCTCTGAGCAAAGTTTCCTAACATTATTGTTTAAAATAATCTTCACAGGTATTCTAGGGAAATCAGTTTCCTGCTCAAATAGTGTTGGGGAAAGTCTGAAAATTTAAATCACACTTTGGAAATTATGACTGTCCCCATTAGCACAATGAAGACTCTGAGAAGCACTCCAAAAAGGAAACTGTTAGTTATTTGATGAATAACTAACACTTGAGAAATCACTGGTGTTTCCCAGTTTGCCCACTGAACCTTTCCTTAACATGAAAAGCTTATCAACATTTTATGAAAATGTGGTCCGAGGACAGTTTGCCTTTTGGTCTCTATGGTGGAATGAACATCCTCTATAGATGTGCAGAATTATGCAGACAAGTGTTAACACAGACTTGCAGGGTGCAGAATGTTGGGAAATGCAGCTTTCACCATATTTGTATCTTTTTATTATTTCTGAATATCTTCCCCATTCCCTTCCCTGAATTTATATAGAGCTAAAGAAAGTTGACTGTAATTTCATTTACATTTCCTCATTTAGGAAAAATCAGTTCCCAAAAGCAGAATGAAGCAGTGGCAAGGCCTCAACCTTGCTCATCATTCGAATATGCTGAAAACACCATGGCCAGGGAGCTACTTCCAGCCTGGAGGGCTGAAGACCTCCCTGAGGATGCCCAGGTGAGGCGGAGGCCAACACAGGAGGGCAGCCTCCACCTGTTGGTTCTGACAGTGAAAAGTGAACTCCTTAAACACTCTTATGACAGATTTAATTTTAAATCAAATTGGTTGTTGGTTTAGTAACTGAAAACCTAGGCCCAAGGCTCACTCTTAGCCCTGAATTATTAAGTAATACCCTGGGCTCTTGGGCAGAAATCAAAGTGCTGTCACGGATCTGTACCCAGATTCTTCAGATATGGATGCCTTGCCCTGATTAGACATTGTGGACAAAGCATTTACTCTCCTGAGCCATAAGAGTACCATTTAGAATGATTGGATGATATTTTTTCATTATCTCCTCAGTGACTTTAACCTTTACCTTGTTCCCATGAGACAGGTAAAGCAGGTATAATTACACTCCTTTTAGAGATGAATAAACTGAGGCCTGGAGTGGCCTAATAACTTGCCAGGGACAGTGAGACCTGCATTTCGCTAATCTCTGTCATTTGTGCTATGGGTTCCTCATCCACCCTGAGAAGATATGCACAGACCCTTCCTGTGTGACTGGGCCTAGGGAAGAGCTCATGGTTCAGAGACTTCTTGATCATGTCTCTGGGTACTTGGTATTCCCTTCTCTACCTCCTCCCATCTACCAGTTTCCGCTAATTATTCAGGCCATATCCAGCCTGTTCACTATATCTCAACTTGACGTGGGGCTGGCCCACTTTGGTGTCTTTGGTGGTACCCAGCAGTGAGAGGGTGGGAGGAAAGACATAGGACCAAGTACCAGAGCTTTGCAGCCCTTCCATGACCCTTACTGCTCTGTTGTCTTGGCTCTCCCATCCCAAAATTAGAGAAAAAACCCTAAATGAGATCCAGAGGTGGATGGGGAAACTGGTTAGAAACCCCAGGTGGTAACAGTGACAAAGAGGTTCTGGCAATTTCAAGAAAGAGAGAGAATTGCTCAGTGATGTGCCCTAGACATGTGATGGCAGGGCACTCCTCACCCAATATCCACATCCCCTGAACATCATCTTCCACCAGCCTGGCCCTTTGGAAATCCTGCCATGTATTTTAAGAGTCACCACCATGACTTGGAACTTAGAACTGCCTCATTGACTGCCAGGGAGGGAACATTTATAGAAGCAGCTAGTTTTATATTTCCAGTACCCAGCACGGTACTTGGTTTTACCCATGTTTGTTGACTAGAGGAATGGATGAAAAAATACATCTCCTCATACCCAGAAATGTTACTGGAGTCCCATGGGAACTTTAAACAGGGGTCTTCTTTGGAACCATAGCCCATAGACTTGTCATCCTCAATGGCCATCTCCCTTGCTAGACTACTGGTATCTGCTGTATTGAGCTCTGTACCCCCAGAACCTAGCATATGACTTGGCACAGACTAGGTACTCAATATGCATTTGTTAAATGGGTGGATGAATGAGTAAATGAATGAAAGAATAAAGGAAATGAATAAGTGCTTGAATTTATAACCACAGTTAAAAGAGCTCACATCCTAAAATGTGTTTTTTATAATTTCCAACCAAATGACACTCTCGCTAAGAGACTTTAGAGCCCCATCCCATACATCTGTGACTGTACCCTCTGGGATTCATGGGGAATAATAGGCTCTGACAAGACAGTCTGCAAACACCCTGATTCTGCAGCCAGGAGTGCAGTCCCAGGTCCACTATCCTGCTTGAGAAAACTGTTTATAGAGTATCCACCACCTGCACAATTCCTGCAGATGGCATGATCACAACCCCAGTACCATCCTGGTGGGTCCAGCTTTGTGCATGTGAGCAAAAGGGGAGACTGAGTCCCTGGACCTGCTCTCTGTGAGTAGGTTCAGGGATTATGTCAGGTTAGCAATTGTGTACTTTATTAAAGGTCCCTACCCTTTCAGAGGCTGGAGGAAAAATGATACATTAAGCAAACATTTATTCTTTTGTTCCCAAGGTTGATTTTTCATACACTAAGATACTTGAAAAGCAGTGATGAAATCAGTTAAATAAATAAGCCATTATGCTTGGAACAGAAACTCTTAACAGAACTTGAGAAAAGTAAGACCCGGTAAAGAAGTGTACAAAATGCAGAGCAGGTAATATGGGGACTTTCCTATGCCTGGCACAATGGCCATGTGGTCAAGGGCTTCATTAGCACAAGCCTGTTTCTGCAGCTGTGGTAATGAGTTGACTGCACCAGCTCTGCAGACAGACAGGCAAACAGAGTTGTACTTAGGGGTGGGGCAGGGGGAATGGCATTCTGTGCACACAGCTACGGCCAAATAGGACCTGTTTCACATCCTCACAGCATTTTCTGCCCAGTTGCGTTTGCATGAATAACCTTAATGATATCATATTACTCATTTAGGACAAGGTACCCAGAATGTGTTCGTACTCTGATGGTGGTGACAGTGATAGTGACAATGACCGGACTATGGAAATAATGGTTTTGGAGCTGAAAGGGGCAAGTTAGTGAAAGCAATGAAGAGCACCACCCCAGGTAATGCACAGCAAACACACGGGACATCCGGGGTCCTCTGTCTGGGAAGCCACTGAGTATGCCTTTCACTGAGCTCTGCCTCCACCTCCTCCCTTGATTTTATATCTTAGCTCCGTGTCACTCCTGAGATCTAATTTTCTGGCACGTACAGAAGATTGTCTGTGCACATCAATTTGTTTCCTGGTATAATCTTCATGACATTGCAGTGCAGTCTGTAAGGATATTTCCAAATCTGGCATCTCCCAAAAAGGCTCCAACTGAGCTATCTCAGTAATGAAGGAATGGCTATAAAAATAAGTCGTTCTTAATTACATCCTTTGGCAAGTTAAATCATCCAGTGAGCCCTGGATAGAATTTCTAGGCTCTTTGCTCACACCGTGTTGTGTAGCTCTGGACCTGTTAGCCAAGCCATTATGAACAGGTCTGTTTATGAGGCTGAAACTCCCTCACACTGTTTCTATTTAAATTGGAATTGGCAGTAGAAAAATCATCATCCAGAGGCATTAAAAATATGTGTATTCAGATGGCATTTTCTTACAGATGCAAGAGGACAGATGCACCACGAACACAACATGTGATCTGGGGTCTGCTTTTCTCCTAATCTTTTCTGAATTGTCAGAAATATTTTAATGATGCAATGAAGAATTATTCTTTTTGTACTAATCAATGTTTTTTCCTCAAATGCTAATTTAGCAATTAAATGATGAAACCATGACTTAAAAAAAACACAAGACTAATATGTTGCTTTAGGGGTCAATGCAATCTAGCAACCATTCATGTTCCCAGTTTTCCAAGAGTCTTGGCATTTGTGACATGTGGGGACAAGGGTGGCATGTATGAATAACCATTGACCAGGGACTCCATTCTGCTCCTTGCTTCCTACCAGTCCTCAAGAAGCAGGACCAGTGGTTGAATGCTGCCAAGCTTACCAGCAAGAAAGTGGCAAACATGTCTGGCATTTTAGTTAGGTTGTTGTTCCCATTAGCTCTCTGTGGTTTGCCAGTGTCCCTCTGGTTGTGACAGATAAAGGACTAGGGGAATTCATCGTCATAGGGCCTGCCCAGTGAAGATGCCTAGGGCCTTGCCAGCTCCTAGTTCCAGCTCCCCCTTGAACCTGTGCACAGTGAATAACCCCACCTCACTGACCCTCCACTGCTTCATCCAAGAATGATGTCCAGGGCTCCTTCCAGCTCTAAAACCCCATTCATTTACTGAACAAATAATCACTGAAAGCCTCCTCTAGGCAAGCTTTCCAGCAGTGAGTAAATAGACAAAAATCCCTGCCAGACAGTAAAAAAACACATACAATAAACTAGAAAGTGTATGTAGTTTATTGAAAGGAGATCAGTGCTGTGGACAAGAAGAGTAAAGCAGGGTGCAGGATGGGAATGCAGGACTGCTGGGAGCGGAGACGTGAAGGGGAGGAGTGAAAACTTAAATGGAGCAGGCTGAACAAGCCTCACTGTGAAGGTGATGTTTGAGAAGAGAGTTGAAGGAGCGGTGGAAGTAAGCCAGGAGGCTGTCTGGGGAAGCTCATTCTCTGCAGAGGAAGCAGCTAGAGCAGAAGCCTTGAGGAGGAGCAGCAGGCAGCCAGTGCAGCTGTGGCAGAGAGCAAGCTGGCAGTCTGGGAGATGAGGTCACCTAGGTTAAAGGGGCCAGAGCTGATGAGGCCTTGCTCGCCACTCATTGGTCGGCCTTGCTCGCCACTCATTGGTCGGCCTTGCTCGCCACTCATTGGTCGACTTTGCTTCTCTGAGAGACATCTGTGGGAGCCTTTGGACAACTTTGAGAGCAATGTTTTAAAAGGAGCACTCCAGCTGTCCTTTTTGAAAACCTGAAGAAGTAAGATCAGCTAAGAACTATTATCACATCCAGGCAAGAGATGTTCACGGCTGGGACCAGGCGGTCACAGTGAAGGGAGCGAGCAGCACTGGCCAGGAGAGCCCTCCTCCGTGACGGCAGTGTCCAGCGTCTGCACTGCCCAGTGCCACAGCCACTTGCCACGCAGCCCAGAAGCACTTGAAATGTGCCTAGTGAGAGTAAGGAACTGATTTTTTAAATTTAATTTTTGCTGTAATTTTCCTAAGAGCCATGCCTTTTTGCTCTATTTTATTTTTAATTTTTGTATTAACTTGAATTTAAATATGAACAGCCACACATGGCTTACACAACACAAGGGGTGAGAATGGTCTGATTCCAGACCTAATTAAAAAAAAACAACATAATTTACTGATAGATTGTAGGTGGGGTGAAAGAAAACACCAAGTCCATGGTGGCTCCGCAGTTTGGGTCCTTGAAGGGATGGCATTCTGCTGACTGAAGAAGAGAAGGCTGAGGATGGGGCTTGGGGAGGCAGATTAGCAGTTAATTTTGGACACACTAAGTCTGAGGTGCTTGTTAGGCAAGTGGAGGTGTCAAGTAAATGGTGGGTGGTCTGGAGTTGACAGATCAGGTCCTGTCTGGAAATGTAACTTTGAGTGTCAGCAATGTGGATGGCTTTTAAGGTCCTGGAT